GCTTTAATAGAAAACTTTTTGAAATAATAAAATTGAGAATAATTTATTATCCAAGAATGGACAGAGGGTGGGATGGGGGAGTTGATGCTGATGGATGCTTGTTCAATCTTCAGCTTCTTGGAAAGTGAAAAAAAATGGTGTGAAAACCAGAAAAATGATAACACTTGAAAGAAATTGTCTTTTTTATAAGTATTAATAGCTCATCTTATTGTAACTGGGATCTGCTTTTAGAAGAGGCGTGATGGGGGATGTAGCAAATATTACTTGAGGGTATAAACATTGATATTTGCCCATATCTCACAGAAAGTTGAGCAAGTAGAGAGTGACTTAATCTGCTGAAAAAGACAGTGTGGTTTGTGGTCAAGGGCATCCATTCCAGAGCTGAAATATTAGAGTTCAAGTCCTGGCTCTCCCTCTTTGCTGTGTGACCACACAAAAATTTCCTAACTGCTCTGAGCCTCAGATTTCATAATCAGAATAACAGATATTAATAGGCCCTATCTCATAGGGTTATTCTAATGATCAAATAAAAACAGTTTCAATAGCTTCTACTTCATTATAGGTGCTTTAAAAATATTATTTTTTAAAGAATCATAGAGGACCTGGAAAGAGAAGGAAGCATTAGGGTCATAAACATTTTTGGTGCTAGTAGTAGTATTTTATTCACTATCATCATCTGACTGCTATGTGCCAGAGATCTCATTCAAGACCCCTAGAGATGAGGGCACTATCAACATCCCTCGTTTTAGAGCAGAAAACTGAGCATTGGCGAGATTGAGTTTCATGTTGAAGATCACTGGGCTAATGAGAGATTTTGATACCTTTTCCTGGGAAGTCATATCCAAGAGTCTGTACTCCAGTATGTACGGGACATGTGGTCCCCTATGGCCAAAGTCCAGCAAAAACAAAATCAAAGGGCATCTGGTTGGAGGATGGGCACTAAGCGAGCATGAGCACCCCACCCTTCATTTTCATTTCATATCCAGAGCCTGTCGATCACCCACCTTCTCTACCTATCAGAACCCGGTCTCTCTGAGTTTTTCTGGTTTGCCATTTAGCAAGCGCCACAGTGGCCTGGGATTGAGAAAACAAGACACTAAGATTCAGTGGCTAAAAGTGGGCTCTTTAGTAAGATGTGAATCTCAGCTGTGGCGCTCACTGGCCATGTGACCATGTCCCCACATGTTTTTAGGCCCAGTCCTCTTGTTATGAACAGGTTCCTGGGTCTAAGAAAGAGATCACACACCTCTTGGTGCCATCCTACTGTAGAGATCCATGTAGTTAGCCACACAGCATCCCTTTATTAGCGTGCTCTTTTATGTTAAAGGTGCAGCTAAAACATGTTAGCTTGTAATTGTGGACATTTATTTAAAATGTAATGCATGAGGAATTTTATAACAATAATTTACTACTCCCATAGAAATGGCAGTAACACTTGGAAATGAGCCCAGTAGAAGCCTTGGGACCCTGAAGTCAAATCTGACTATATTCTATATTGACCTTGTTCCTGGCCACACAGAGCTTACAGCCTATTTGAAGAAATTAAATAAATGTCTGCAAAGTAAATAAAAATCCCAGGTAGTGTGTGCTCAGTGCCAAATGAATTGTGTAGTCATTTTACAGATATTTGCTGAGTGCCTTCCCTGTGCTAGACAATGGGGGTGTGACAGAGAACAAGACACACTCCTAGCCAGGAACACAGCCGATGGGATCTCAGAAAGCGGAGGACCCAAGCTCAGGTGTGCAGAGGAGACCATATTCTTTCCAGAGACATGGAGTGAGCACCCATAATGTGCTGGATTGCTTTATTGTAACTGCCCCCCACCCTTGGAATTGCTTTAGAAGGGTGGCAGAGCTAAGGGCCCCCCTCTTGGAGCCACTTTAGAAAGGTGGCCGAGCTAAGGGCTGCCAGCTGCTGTAGAGTGGTTCCTTCTGGAGCTTGGTACAAGCAGCTGTGAGAAGCAAGGTCACAGATGAGGTTTCGTCATTAGATCTGACGAATGAAGAAACCGGCATAGCACAGGTCTGGATGTGATAAAGAAAATGCCCCAGGCTTTTGAGGTTTCATTTTACATAAGAAAATGTCATCCCTCATTTTTGGATAATTGGTCAGAATAAATGTAATATATGGTCTACGACGTGCTTATATTTGGCAGAGTCAAAAGTTGCAAAATAAGTATCCTTTGGCTTCAGAGGCCTTATGAATCCATAGGAGTGGGCTTGAGGAATGGGCGAAACGTTACGCTTGACAGCAATCTAGTAACCATTCAAATGACAAAGGTTGTCCATGGACAGTGCTAATTCCATATGGGAAAGTTAGGCAATCACGGCTGCTTTGAAAGGGGTGATGCTCTTATAGTGACGTGTTCGTAGAATTCTTGGTGGAAGAAGGGCAGGTTTGAGTTGGGACTAAAGAGCGTAGACAGTGTAAATAAACAGGGATAACCACCCTTGCCTTAGTGAGATATATAATGTTCCTTTTAATTAAACTTTTTAAAAATAGGGTTACAATGGCTAAGAACGAAGTATTGCTAAGAATGTCAAGGGACAGTCCCTGCTCACTGCTGTAGTAACAGGTGCAGTTGTTCAATAACAGGTTGGAATTGGTACTGAGAGGTGGCTAAGGGCATGCTCTTGGGTTTCAGGCAGACTAGAGCCATCCCCATCCCAGTGTGTCACTCACTGTCCTGTGACTTCTGCAGGCCTGTTCCTTCACTAGGCAGCCTCCCCAGTGCCTTCGGCCTGGGTGTGGTTCAAAGATCACGGAAACGTGGGGGATGGGGAGTCTATACTCTGCAAACCTCAGTTAATGCACGTGTAACAGAAGCTACATTATAATCTACAATCCAGCCCATTCTTACTCAGTAATCGTATCTGTTGGGGTTCTCCAGGGAAACAGGACCAATAAGATCTCTATATAGGAAGAGATTTCGTATAGGAAATTGGCTCACACAATTGTGGAGGCTGAGAAGTCCCACCGTCTGCTGCCTGTAAGGTGGAGACCTAGAAAGGTGGGTGGCAGAGTGAAGTCTGAGTCCAAATGCCTGAGAGCCAGGGGAGCCGGTGATGGGGATTCCAGCCCAGGTCTGACGCCGGAGAACCGGGGACAGCGAGAACAGAAGATCGATGTCGCAGCTCGAGCAGTCAGGCAGCAAGAGCTGAATTCTTCCTTCCTCCACTTTTTTATTCTACTCAATCCTGCATCAAGTTGGATGGTGCCGCTCACATTGTGTGTGTGTGTGGGGGGGGGGGCAACTGCCTGACTGGGTCCAGCATTTCAAATGCTGATCACATCTGGAGACCAGAAATAATGCTCAGCCAAATACGTGGGCACCCTGTGGTCCAGTCAAGTAGACACATAAGAGTAACCATCACAGTTATAAGGAATACAAAAGTTTAAATNTCTGGAGACCAGAAATAATGCTCAGCCAAATACGTGGGCACCCTGTGGTCCAGTCAAGTAGACACAGAAGAGTAACCATCACAGTTATAAGGAATACAAAAGTTTAAATCACAAGAGCAAAATAAACAATATGTGCATAATAAAACAATGAGCATTCTTAGAAAATTTATGTCAAAAAGTTGTATTTTAATGTGATTATGGGTACATTCTGATATATTTGAAATGATGTGGTTTGTGGGTCTTGGAAAATAAAAGTGTCTACAGGCAGAGAAAGAGCTCAGATGTCCTCACACTAAATGTCTCTGTGCCTCTGCAACTGTCAATTTTATGGGGTTATTGCAGGGAATAAATGAGCTACTATATATGAAATATTTATTATACCACCTGGCATGTAGTAGTCACGCAGAATGTTCGCTTAGAATAATAGTTATTGCTCATCAGGATATTCTTTTAATGACTCCATATAATGTTAAGTCAAGGTTTTATTTTCTGATTTTACTTGCAATAGTCCTTTACTCATATCAGAAAGATTAAATATTTCTACAGTTGCTACGAAAGTAAAGAAACCAATTCACCCTCCTAGACTCATCAGTATGCCAGGATAAATGTGGGTTTGCAGTCAGTATGCCAGGATAAATGTGGGTTTGCGGTAACAGTGGTTAAGGGAGGATCTTTAGATATCGTAACAATTGCAAGAGAATTCTAGAAATTCACACGTAAATGCAAGATACTATTCTGCCCCTTCTTACAGCATCGAAGAACTATACCAAATGTATAAAAATAAACACCTTTACCTCAAAGTACAGGATATTGCCTAGCTAAGTTTAATTGAAACACTAATATCCAGTCCATGATAAACTGAGGCTGAAGCGATCTGAAAACACTGTGGGAGCATACAAATCAGATGATCGCAATCTTTATGGCTAGAAAGGTTCAGTTGGCGTTGGCAAGTTGTGAAGATAAAAGCTTAGAGCAAAGTCAACAGCTAAATGTCTAGACTGGATTGGGGATCAATGTTAATACTCAAAGTGTAAAAGCGCTGAACTTCAAATGATCTCTCGTAGTGTTGTGTTTGACTTTTCAAGATAATGGCGTAGAACTTATTTACTGAAAAACTTCTGCTGAATTGTCATTAGGCACCTCTCTTATGGTCTTACGGTGTCTTCTGCCATCTAGCATTTCTGCCACTGCTTGGAGGCTGCGTGTTATGTGATCTGTGCCCTGACTGCAATCCCAGGGCTTCAGCTGCTGTTTTTCCAAACATTTCCACTTGGGTGACTATGAATAGTTTATGAGAGACCAGAGTCAGACTGTGCCATTTCTAGGCATCTTTTTTTTTTAAAGCCAACATGGAATTTGCCTCATGGCCTCACTCTGATCTCAGCAGGAACACTTTCAAAAGAAGTTCCTTGTTTTTTTCAAAGGCCGTTTGCATGAGTTGATCCAATGCTCTCCTATTATGGAGCCCTAAAGCCAGTGGCAAAAAATCTGTGTGTATCGAGTTGTGTAAAGGATTCACTGCATTTAGCTGATTGTGCCCCCAGGTGACACATCCAACAGTCTCCAACCTCTGTTTGCTTTTCTCTTTTGTTTGCAGGAGCAGAGGGCACAGTGTTCCCTAAATCTATAGAGACACCTAATGTCAGGGCAGACCCCTTCAAGGAACTAAGGTAAACTTCTGACTTTGCCTTAATCGATTAGTGTCTGTTTGCTTTCTCTGTGCAACGGGCGAATGACCCATTTCGAATCCTTATAATGTAACGGTGTCACAACATGAATATGTAAACTGGAAGCAGTTAGAAAGGACGTGAAGATAAGAGAAAATTTTCTCTGAGGACCTACAATTGAGGGTTTGGAGGAAGAGGTTGACCACCTTGTCATTGTGAGCTTTGGGATTTATGTTGTTACATGTCTGTTTCTTACTGTGCTTTGTGGTACCAAAAACCTATTGGGTGAGAGAACCAGTCAGTAATTGGTGCTGATCAGTCCAAAGAAAACTGGTGTCTAAAAGAAGCTGAACTCTAAATGCAATAGAGATTTTTTCCCTGTGTAACAAGCTTCCCATTACCTGGAATAATATGGTGTAAGAGCACCTCTGTGGGTGTTCCACGTACTGGTTGGTGTTAATCTTCAGGTATCTATACATGGACTGCTTTTAACAGAAAAGGACTCTGAGGTGCTGTGTGCTTTCCACCAACTATGGAAAACAAAAAGCAATAGACAGGCAGACAGATAGGTGGATAGACGAACAGAGATAGAGATACGGCCTACAAATTACTCCTGCCCCAAAGGACCATCCCCAGCCCCCCCCCCCAAAAGAACTTACAAAACATGGTATGATTATACAAATATAACTTTAATTTTTACTGTATACTTGTGGCCATGGAGGGTTCGGTGAATGCTGGCCATCTCCATTTCTCATAGTTCTTTTAACTGAAACCAGTCATAAAGCATCGTAACTAGCATGGAGTAACTGTTTCATAAAGGCATCAGCCATGAGCAAATGCATTTGTATTGCACCGTCATATCTGCTCTTTCGCAATGTTTTCTGAAAGCAGCAACGGCCAGGTGGGAGGTTGTATTTCCTTAAACAGAAACCCGTTGCCAGTAAGTGGAGAACACATAACCTGTTCAAGACCCGGGGATGCTTGCTAACCTGAACTGAGTCGGGAGGCTAGACTGTGGTCACTTAGCCCTTTCGTCCTGAAATTTTTTCTTACTGGCCTTTGGCGGGACAACCTCTGACCAATCGAAAAGATAATGAAACCTGGTTGATGGATTTGTCCAAATCAGTGCATCTGTGAATGTTGCACATTTGTCATCTAAGGCTGCCGTGTTATACTCTGTGCTATTGATTGGAATTGACCTTAGCTATTGAGTAAACAGGTAATGAACTTGGAGACTGAGCCTTCTGGCCTCTGGCTCTGCAGTTGGATCAGTTTTACTGACCCAGCACATTCATGCTAGTGTGTCTTCTGGGCTTAGGAAAGTGGAACCGTTGAAGGGAGGTCCCTGGACTTGGACCAGCAGGTAGTGCTGAGTGAACTGTCCAGGTGAAGCAGAAGCTGTCACTCCTTAGAGGCAGCAGGATGGAAGGGAAAGAGCACTGAGCTGTGACTCAGGGACCTACTGCAAACTCACCATGTGGCCTTGAGCTAATCCTAGAGTCCTACTCTCTGTAAAAAGCCAGGTCACTTCTACCTCCAAATAGCTAATCCCTTTATAGTATTTTACCTTTTTTAAAAATAATAATAATTTAGATTTGAAGAAGAGTTGCAAAATTCATACAGATTATTCCCCTGCACCTTTCAACTGCTATCCTCTAATGTTAACATCTTACACATCTATGACATATTGATCAAAACTAAGAAATTAACATTGTAGTCCTATAAGATCTTATTTTATATAAGATTTGTTTAAAAGGATGCAATTACCTCAATGTCTTATGGATTAAAAAATATAAAAAAGAAGATTGCCTTGGCTGGGTAGTGAAATCGGTTGGAGCATTGTCCCATACACCAAAATGTTATGGTTCATTTCCTGGTCAGGACACATACCTAGGTTGTGGGTTCGATCCTCAGTAGGGGCACATACAGGAGGCAACAGATCAATGTTTCTCTCTCACATTGATGTTTCTCTCCCTCTCTCTTCCTCTCTCTAAAAATTAATAAAAACATATCCTTGGGTGAGAATTAAAAAAAAAAAAAGATTAACAGAAAAATCGTTTGTTGAGATGTGAATTAATGGATCTTTAAAGTCCCCAATGCAGTTAAATTGCAATGTTTTTAATGAGGTTTTTTAAAATTTATCTTTATTGTTGAAAGCATTACAGATGTGCCCTTTATTCCCCCATTGATCCCCTCTATCCCGCATTCACCCCACTCCCAGGCCTTCCCCATACCAATGTCTGTGTCCATGGGTTATGCTTATAGACATATAAGTTCTTTGATTAATTTCTCTCCACCTATATGCCCACCCCACCTTCCCTCTGAGATCCCTCAGTCTGTTACATGCTTCTATGTCTCTGGATCTATTTTGTTCATCATTTTATTTTGTTTATTACATTCCACATATGAGTGAGATCATGTAGTACTTGTCTTTCACTGACTGGCTTATTTCAATAAGCATAATACTCTCCAGTTCCCTCCATGCTGTCCCAAAGGATAAGTGATCCTTTTTTACAGCTGCATAGTATTCCATGGTGTTAATGTACCATAACTCTTTTATCCACTCATATACTAATGTGCACTTGAGAAGAATGTATATTCTGCAGCTTTGGGGTAGAATGTTCTGTAAATGTCAATGAAATCCATCTGATCTAGTGTGTCATTTAGGGTCACTGTTTCCTTGTTGAGTTTTTGTCTTGAAGACCTATCCAGTGAAATCAGTGGGGTGTTAAAAGTCCCCTAGTATGACTGTCATGCTATTGATCTCTCCCTTAAAGTCCTCTAGAAGTTTTTTTATGAACTTAGGCGTTCCTTTATTGGGTGCATATATGTTTATCAGGGTTATATCCTCTTGTTAGATCTATCCCTTTAGTATTACGTAGTGACCTTTCTTGTCTCTCGTTATGGTTTTCATTTTGAAGTCTATTTTATCCAATAGGAGTATTGCTACCCAGCTTTTTTTTTTTTTTCCATTTCTATTTGCATGGAAAATTTTTTTCATTCCTTCACTCTCATCCTGTGAGTCTTTTGTTCTGAGGTGGGTCTCTTGTAGACAGCATATATTTGGGTCATGTTTCTCATCCATTCAGCCACCCTATATCTTTTTATTGGAGTATTTACTCCATTTACATTTAAGGTTATTATTGATAGATACTTATCTATTGCCATTTTAATTCTTTATGCCTATGTTTCTCTTTCTCTCTATTTCTACTTGTAATTACAGCAGTTCCTTTAACATTTCTTGTAATGCTGGTTTTGTATTGATAAACCCCTTTAGCCTTTTTTTTTTTTTGGTCTGGGAAGCTCTTTATTTCACCATCTATCTTGAATTATAGCCACGCTGGATCGAGTAGTCTTGGTTTCAGATCCTTGTTTTGCATTACCTTGAATACTTCATGCCATTCCCTTCTGGCTTGTAGAGTTTCTAATGAGAAATCAGCTGACAGCCTTATGGGGGCTCCTTTGTAGGTAACAGGTTGCTTTTCTCTAGCTGCCTTTAATATTCTCTCTTTGTCTTGAATTATTGGCATTTTAATTATGATGTATCTGGGTGTGGGCCTCTTTAGGTTCTTCTTGTTTGGGACTCTCTGTGCTTCCTGAAATTGTGTGACTTTCCTTCACTAGGTTAAGGAAGTTTTCTGACATTATTTCTTCAAACAGGTTCTTTAACTCTTGCTTGCTTTTGACCTCTTCTCGTACTCCTATAATACGAATATTGTTACATTTCATGCTGTCCCACAGCTCTCTTAAACTGTACTCCTGTTTTTTAATTCTTTTTTTCCTTTTGGATCTCTGTTTGAGTGATTTTTTTCTACCTTGTCTTGTAATTCGCTGATCCAACCCTCAGCTTCCTCTAATCTGCTGTTTATTCCTTCCAGTGTATTCTTTATTTCTGCTATGCCATTCTTTATTTCCTTCATAGTTTCCTATCTTTTGTCATGCTGTTGAGCATCCTTATAATCAGTATTCTGAACTCTATATCTGAGAGATTGCTTATCGCCATTTCATTTAGCTCTTTTTCTAGAAACTTCTCTTGTTCTTTCATTTGGGGCTTGTTTTTTTGTCTCCCCATTTTGGCTGCTTGTTTGGGTTTGTTTCTATGTATTAGGTAGATCTGCTAGGACTCTCAGTCTTTTTGGAGGGTCTCTAGTGCAAGCCAGTGTCTGACACAGTTTGTGACTGGCCTTGAGTACCCTGTTTGGAGCTATCAACAACCCTTGACTTGAGGTCTCCTCTGCTGGGGCTGGGTGCATTTGAACGGGACCAAGATGCACACCAAAGTCTGCTTCTCCAAGACCGGGGTCCAGAAGCAGATCAGGCAAAGACTCAAAGCATCCTGAGGTCTGCCTCTGCCTGCAGGCTGATTAATCTAATTCTCTTACTGAGCCTCAGGTTGTAGAAGCTCCACAGGGTGGGGAGGTTGGTTGGTATCAGTCTCTTAAGCCTCAGGCTGTAGAAACTTCTCTGGGTGGGTGAGATTTTTTTCCAGCAGGGTGGAGCAATTGCTTCCCCCTCAGGCAAAAGCAGCAAATTGTCTGCCTGAGAAAGATGTCCCCCACAGTAGGGGGAACGACTCAGCACAGGAGTCCAGAGGGGTGCCCTATGACCTCTATTTCCAGAGCCCACTACCCTAGATTCTCCTCACACAGCTCCAGTCCACTCTGCGCTCCCTCTGCTGGAGCCCAAGGTGAGTGGCTGCACACGAAACTGTGCATTGGCTCTTTAAGAGGGTGTCTGCATTTCCAACAATCTCTCCCTGGCAGACAGAAACCCGGCTGCTTTTCACAGCCAGATGTTATGTGGGTACCTTCCCAGTTTTGGTGCTCTGAACTGGGAAGCCCAGCCTGGGGTTTAGGCCCAGAGTCCTCAGTGGGAACCCCCCACAGTTGAGATCTCCCTCCACACCTTCAGCTGCTGCCTGTGGGAGCCCTGCCAGCCCTCTTGTGCCTCCGCACTTCCTACCAGTCTCTATGTCATCTCCACTCTTCCTCCTTGGTTATGAG